CGTCGGGACAGGATTACTACATGCTCCAAAAAAGAAGAAGGGGGTGGAGTTTTCATAACCGTTTTGAACAAATATAACCCGGTCGGTCTTCAGGAGTTTGGCAGTGATGCTGAGGATGTTTGGGCCCTCTTGACTGTTGGTAATATCAAGGTTTACTTATGTTGTGTTTATCTACCACATGGTGATGACGTGAATTATGCCTGTTTTTTAACAAAATTAGGTTCGAACTTTAAAAAGATAAAAGATCACCCTGTAATCATTTGTGGCGATTTTAATTACTCGACAGTCGATTGGCTCGAGGAGAACGCTCATTTTGAGCCGTTTAATGTACCACCTAAGTATAGTGAGCTACTAGAAGCTTTTTCATTTAATGGCCTTACGCAATTTAATAATATTTACAACGCAAATAATAGGCTTTTGGATTTAGTATTCTGCAATAAGTTTTATATTAATAATTTAGTTCAATCTGACCATCCCCTGTTGCCCGAAAATATAAACCACCCATCCTTGGAGTTCTTGTTTGACTGTCCTCATGCCGAATTAAAAGAAAAATGCAAAAAGAAATACTTTAGAAACTTCAAACAAGCTAAATATACTGATATCAATAACGTGCTCAACTTGCAGGACTGGCCATCACTGCTAAACCCTAAAAATAATCTGGACATAAATGTCAAAATATTTTATAATACCTTAAACAAAATTATACAGGATAAAGTTCCTCTAAAAGGTATAAATAATGACTTTCCTCCCTACTTTTCTAAAGAAACAATCAAACTAATATTAAAGAAAAAAAAATTACACAAAAAATGGAAAGATAACAAAAATGTAAACTCCTATAATGCTTTTAAACTTCTCCGTTCACAAACAAAAAGATGCATTGGCACTGACTACCAGTCATATGTTTCTAACATAGAAAACGAAATACCTAATAATAGCAAAAAATTCTGGCAGTTTGTGTCAAATAAAGGATCAAATGGAGGGACTCCTAGGGAGATGAAGTTTGGTGACAGGGTGGCAGAGGATGGAGCTGGAGTCTGTAAGTTATTTTCGGATTTTTTTCGAAGCGTATATGTTGAAAAATCTCCTACAAAGAAAAAAATTGAAAAACACCGTCAAGACAAAAATAAGACACTTTCTAAGATTATACTGAGTGTAAATGAAGTACGGGGAGCTTTGCAAAGTTTGGATGAAAAAAAAGGGGCAGGTCCTGATGAGATCCCAGCTTTCTTTGCAAAAATGTGCTCGCTTTCACTTTGCCTGCCATTGACAATGCTGTTTAATCAATCTCTTTCTTCTGGGATCTTTCCAGAAGTCTGGAAGGTCTCTGCCATAACTCCGATCTATAAAAATAGTCAAAAAAATGATGTGAAAAATTATAGACCTATCAGTAAACTGTGCACTTTTGCGAAGCTTTTTGAGAAAATGGTCTACCCTTATATTTTTAGTTTTGTCATAGGTGACATCATGCCACAACAATATGGCTTTTTACAAAGGAGGAGTCTAGAGTTAAACTTGATAGAATATTCTCAATACATTTATGAATCATTTGATGCTTTCTGTCAGGTGGACGTAATTTATACAGACTTCAGCAAAGCATTTGATAAAATTTGTCATAACATTATGATAGAGAGATTGGAGGAGGTGGGAATCTGCGGTGACCTCCTTAGATGGTTTAAATCATATTTACTTAAAAGATCAATGTTTGTTGCCCTTTTAGGGTTTACCTCTGAGAGATTTTCTCCATCTTCGGGGGTCCCGCAGGGCTCCCATCTTGGCCCCTTACTATTTGTGATCTATATTAATAATATTCAGTTGTGTTTTGAATCTTGCTTGTTTCTCGGTTACGCTGATGACCTAAAAATATTTCTTAGAATTAGTTCAATATCAGATTGTGAAACCCTTCAAACTTGTATAAACAACCTCATAGAATTTTGTAATGAAAACCAATTATTCTTAAATTTTGACAAATGCTCTGTTTTATCATTTTCACGTGGATCTACTACTATAAACTATAGCTATAAATTAGGAAATACTTCTTTGAATAGGGTTACTCATATCAAAGATCTGGGTGTCCTTTTTGACTCTAAAATGATGTTTAATCTGCACATTGACAAATTAGTTAATGATTGTAATAGAATTCTTGGATTTATTAAAAGACAATGTGCCGATTTTCAGCAACAAGAAACAATCATAACTCTTTACTACGCATATGTTTTCAGTAAATTGCAATTTGCCTCAGTCATATGGAGCCCCAGATACAAAAACTCAATTGACAGATTGGAAAAAATTCAAAACAAATTTCTAAGATTTTTATGTTTTAAAACCCACTTCCGTATTGTAGATCATGATTATTCAATGGCTAGATCACATTTCAAAATTCTTGAATTAGAAAAAAGGCGAACTATATCAGATATCATGACAATATTTAAAATAATTAATAACTTATCTGACTCCCCGAGTATTCTCTCTAAAATTAAATTCAATGTACCTGCTCGAACACTTCGAAATCATGATCTGTTTTGCATTCCTTATTGTAGAACTAACTATTACCAAAACGCACCTTTAGTCAGGATGCTTAAGGCTGTTAATTTACATTGTACTACTTCTAATTTGGACTTATTTGCTACAAAATTGTTAACTTTTAAAAAAAACCTAAAACTTAAGTTTCTAGAATGAACTCTAGTGTGATATTTTATTTGTGATTTATTGAATAATTAAATCTTACCTAAGTTTTTAGATTAGAACAACGAAGACCTCTACATATACCAATGTGATATATAACTTGTGATTACTTATATAAAATTTTTATATATTATATATATATATTTTTTTTTTTTAAGCAAAGTATAGATATTACTTTAGTAATATCGGGATACTATTTTTGGAATTATGTTCTGTTTGTATCCCAAGGACTGTAATAAATAAATAAATAAATAAATAAATAAATAAGTTCAAATCAAAATTGGCACCGCTCGCGCAGACTCGGCGTATGTGAAAAATATGTGATTTATGAGAAGGAAGCAGGAAGCAGTACGAAGCCGTGTCTCTAAAACCACGTCCGCTTTTTCGGTCGTTATCAAAAATCAAAAAACCTATCGAATTCAAGGCAAAAATTCCTTATTATTATTTCTAAGACTGTGTTGTATTGGTGTGTCGCTGAGAAGCAGACTTTCTGGACACGAGGAGCTCCTCTGGATCGACGAAAACCAGCATAAACCAAGTAAGTGCCAATCCTCCATTGTCTTTGTATGGCTCGGGTTTATGTCCATTAATATTTGTGCGGCAAAATTGAATTTAGCGCCTACAGTCCCGCTGCTCTTTAAACTTTCGAAAAACCTAACGCAAATTTTCGTGAACAGACTTGTTCAAATCCATAGTTGATCTCTTGGTTTTTTTATCTAGGTTGTATGATTCATTGTTTATAACCCGACCCATCGTTGCTTCGGCAAAGTTGGAAGGGTCCTTCGAAAACAGTTAGGTTTTAGGCTAGGGATTTCGACAGGGACTTACTTTTTGTTCAGCTTGTTGAACGCATCGTCGTCCTGATATTTTTGTGAATTTGAAATAAACTATTTTTATTGTCGAAAGTCTAGCGTTGTCTTACATATATGTATATACAAAACTTAATATTTGTATAACTTCCATCAGAATAATCGTACTAGGACAAAAAAAAACACGCTGTAGAATTAGCCAAATATTCATACAAAATTCTCTGTATAAAACCATGTTTGATATTATAGTTTGTTATTTATCTATACCGATGTTATGTTTACGAAGGAAAAAACACATGACTAAGCGGTACGGTGACGCTATGGGATTATATTATGTTAATGTGAGGAGACAGTTTGGAATTAGGCTGTGAAGGGTGCAGAATTGTATTACGGGAATTAAAAAGTATCTGGCATTCAAATTCGTGTGTTTATTTTATGTTGATAAAATTACTCGAGTCTTACAAGTCAGAAGTGGGATACCCTTAGAATTCTGGTGCGTAATTATATTGAATGCGGACATTTTTTTAAAGAAAAAAAAAAGTTCTGCCGTTATGCCGCGAGTGAAAAAAGTCGCTGAAAAGCGGAGGCGCAGGGAGTCTTCGAGTTCGTCCTCGAGTTCGTCTTTGTCTAGTTCGGACGTGAGTTCAAGTGATTCATCGATCAAGAATAAACGCGTCAAACGAAAATTGAAACGGTTAAAACGCTTGGAAAAGTATGTGTCCGACATGAAGTGTGCTAGGACTTCTAGTAGTGATGAGAAAGTGATTCCACCATTTGATCCTCGAGATGATTCACAAAGTGTTGAAAAGTGGGTGGAACGTGTGGATGAGTTGGCCAAATATTATAGTTGGAGCGAAATAACCGTTGGCAAGCTAGTGGCTGGACGCCTTCAAGGTTTAGCTAGACAGTGGTATGACTGTCAGGAAGAACTGAATCCAAAATGGGATACCACAAGAAAAACAGTGGGAAAACTTCATCCAATAGAAAAGATAGCAGTACCATTCCACACCGTACACATAGACCACTGTGGACCATTTGAGAAGAGTCCTAGAGGTAACACTCGATGAATGAATCGAAATGTATCTTGTGTGACAATATTGTTTGCTCCTGTTTTGGGACGGTTTTAGTGTGTTTAGTGCAAAAATCTAAAAACAAAAGTGGTATCAGTGAAAACAGTGCTAAAAGTACTTCAAAACTCACTAAAAGGTACGTGGAAAAACCTTTTTATTCAGAGAAAAAAAAACAATTTTCTTATCATAATTCTCCGAGTAAACCGATATCATAAGGTTCAGTATCGCCCAGCAGGCACCGCCCACCTGGTACCCTTCTACCTTAATCATCACAAACAGCAAGTCGCCAAAATTAGTACAACAGTATGATAGTACCATAGAAAAATCAGTACGCTCGAGAATTGGGAAGCGGGAAGATTCATTCATTTAATATTTCAAGGCTTTTGTACTGAATACATCGCTGTTGTATTTAATGGAGGAGCCGAAGACATTTTCGGATATGTACAAACTGTTAACTGAACAAAACAATGCACAAACCCAAAAGTTAACAAAGCAAATACAAGAAAGTGAATCGAATGTTACAAGGAAATTTAATTCATTTAATCGGAAAATAGAAAAAATACACGAAAAGAACGTTTCTTTTGAACGCAAAATCAGACGTAACAACATTTTACTCTTTGGATTTAATTCTGAAAATTGCAACAGCCTAATAAAGGACACCCTTGCCAAGCTTAACGAACTTTTCGGCACAAACATTAGAGAATCCGATATAAATAACTTATATAAATTGGGAAGAAAGGGAGACTCACCAATTCTTATTGAGTTTCTGTCGTATTTGAAAAAGTCCGAACTATTCAAAGACGCAGAAAAGCTTAGAGCCCTTAAAAACACAGGTTACGCCATTTCTAATGACTTGTGCAACGAAGACAGGGAAGAGCTTAAAATTATAAAAAAACATTTTAAGAAAGCTAGGGACGAAGAGAAGCAAGTTAAAATAAAAGGATTAACTTTGGAACTAGAGGGAAAGATTTATACCGCAAAACAACTAGAACAGTCGGACACTGATACAGACTCTGGTGGGTCGAACAATTATTCAGAACCATCATCCTTGGAAGAGGAGGAGGAAGAAGTAATCGAAGAGGAGTATAGGAACAAGACCAATAAAACAGAAGAGTGTCGTCCAGAAAAAGCCAAAAAGAAACGAAAGAAAAGCAAAACTCCCAGTCCAATTGGCGCTCACACCAGATCTAATAAAAAAAGAAGATAAGGTTTCTGTGGTTTTTTTTTTCTCATTTCTGTTTTTTTGCAAAACAGTTACATTGCATTTATTTTTACATTGTATTTTTTCTTGATCTAGGTAGGTTTTACTTTTTTTTTTCATAATAGGTAGTTGTTATGTATGTATGATAGTAGGTAGGAATGGATGAATACATTCAGAATTTTGAATACATGCAACATAACAATGAAATTTGTAGTTCAGTGAAAGAATGTCAACGAGCATTAAGCCAAGTTGCTAGAATACATACATTCGAAGTTTTTCACAACAATATTAATAGTTTATCCCACCATTTTGATGAACTAGCAGTAACTTTAACAGCTTTGGATCGTAACTTTGAATGTGTGATATTAACAGAAACTCACAAATTAACAAACTTGTCACTTTTAAATTTATATAACTATAACCTAATCTACAATTCCGGTAATTATAATAAAAACGACGGAGTTGCAATCTATGTTCGCAGCGATTTGAGTTATTCATTTGATATCGTTGAGTTTTTTAATAGCAGACTTATCTACTTAACGGTGAATAAGAAGAACACATCGTTTCGATTGATAGCTCTATATAGATCGCCCTCAACAAATGAATGTGCTTTTCTTCGTAGCTTCTACACCTACTTGGAAAAAATGCAGTTAAAAACGTACGACTTTGATATTATTTTGGGTGACATAAATATAGATTTATTGCAGGACACAGAGGTGAAGAACGAGTACTTAAACTGTCTACAAGAATGGGGATTTATCTCGACAATTAATAGTAGTACTAGGGAGGGCCGTACAAGAAAATCTTGTATTGACCATATTTTTCTTAAACAAAAAAATTCGCAAATACCATTCACATCCATAGTTTTTGAATCCAAAATTTCCGATCATTTCTCACAGATTTTACAAATAAAAAGCTTTTTAAATGTTTCTGATAGTCAAAACAAAGTTGATAAATTTAAATCTTACCTTGAAATGTGAACTTCAAAAATCCAACTGGGAAAACATATACAATGAGAAAAACGTTAACTGTGCCGCTACGAAACTTGTTACACACCTAAAAGAACTTGTGAACATTTGTACACAAAAAAAAAACCTAAAACGTAACGAAATAAAAAGAAAGGACTGGATGACAAGTGGGCTCATAAAATCAGTTAACTACAAAAATAAATTATATAAAATAATGCGACAAAATCCAAATAGTTCAAATAAAAAGCAGCAATTTAAAAGTTACTCCTACACCTTAATCAACACTTTAAGAACAGCCAAAATAAATTACTATAAAAAGCAACTACAAGACAATGTTAACAATCGTAACAAATTATGGAAATGTATGAAGAGTATAAACAACAACAACAATAAAAAATCTAATATACAACAAATAAAAACAGCTGAAAATATAAAAATTACATCTGATAAAGATATTGCTAATTGTTTTAATACATATTTCACCAATGTGGCTGCGGATTTAGCAAAGACCATAACAGTCAATAAAAATACAAACTTTAAAGAAACAAAAATATTAAATAAGTTAACATTGGCACCGACAAATAATGAAGAGGTTATAAAAACAATAAAAACATTAAAACCTAAGAAATAACCAGGGAGAGATGGGCTAACCTCGGAAACGTTAAAGGAAGTTTGTAATCTCATTGTGGATCCACTTACATTCATCATCAATAAATCAATTATTGATGGCGTTTATCCCGATATTTTCAAAGAAGCTACCATAAAGCCACTATTTAAATCTGGGGACCCCACCGACGTTAAAAATTATCGACCAATTTCTTTGATCAGTAATATTTCCAAAGTATATGAAAAAATCTTAAAGGAACGTATCGTACAACATCTAGATGCCAACAACATATTGTCCAAATCTCAATATGGTTTCCGAAAAGGCAGATCAACAGAGGATGCATTGGCGGAGTTTATTTCAAGAGTATACGAACCTCTAGTTGTTAATCCTGAGCCCCCCCAACCTAGGTTTAAGAATGAAGAGATAGCAGCTCTTCTGCCTAATTTCAGTGGGTCAGGGCAAGATATTGAGACTTGGGTACAGCGTTTAGATGCAGTTCAGGCAGTATACCAAGTACCTGACCAGATTATGCAGCTTATTGCTATTGGCAAGCTTATGGAGCAAGCTCGAGATTGGTTCCTGTCTGAAACGTTATATGTCACAATGGAATTTAAGGATCTGCGGACAGATATAATTAATATGTTTGGATCAAGACCTGATAAAGTCCTACTAATGGACAACTTTAGGTCCAGAAGATGGAAGAAAAATGAGCTAGTTTCAGTGTATTTCCACGATAAAATACGCCTTGGAAATATAATTGGACTTAGTGACTCCGATTTGATTGACTATGTGATTGACGGATTTGACCATCCTATCCTACAGTCCCAAGCAAGAATGCAGAGTTTTGTGTCACTTCAAGAACTATTGCGAGTCATGAATAATGTCACTGTGAGTGACCGCTCAGTTGAAGACAATTTAACTTCATCATTTTCAAAAATGGGAACAAAAAATGAGCCCCGTGACTCTCAATCAGGAAGGCGTTCCACACCCACCACCAATAATAATCGATGCTTCAACTGTAACGATGTGGGACATATGGCAGCTCAGTGTACAAAGCCAAAAAGGGAGAGAGGTTCCTGTTTTTCTTGTGGTCAGATGGGCCACCGATATACAGATTGTCCAGCAAGGGCTTCAAAGTCAGCTAATGTAAACTATGCGTCAATTGAACTCGAACACACCCCTTTTTGGTCACTTTTTGAAAGGCTATAACTCAAAATCAAGCAGGCCGATTTTGTTCAAATTTTCAGGAGTGAAAGGATGCTCTAATTGCTATTTAATTTCCAGTTCTTAACACATTTCCGGCCACCTGCTAAAAGATACAGGGTGAAACATAAGTTGGCGATTTTTTTTGCGAAAAATTGGGTTCACCCCATTCTGCTGGAGGGAGGGTCAAGCAGATTTTTGGTATGCAGTTCGGAAGAGTACCTTAGTACCTCGGGACGTTTTTGAGATTTTTTGAATATCGCAGCCCACTACGATTTTATCTTGAGTTATGCGATTTTATGTAAAATATAGCTATTGACGTCATTATTTCTTTCGAAACAAACACTACAATTAGGGCGCATGTGGAAACACACTTTAAAACATATTATACAGGGTCATACAAAAATATACAGTGTGTCTATTTTTCTAACCAGAGGTATCTTGGTTATTATTAAAGATACGAGGTTGGTTAAATTAGGGCAAAGTCGCGCAATTTTATGGCCAATAAAATGGGGTTTAACACTAGCACCGCTGCTTATAGACATTGCAGGTGGTAGACCAAGAATTACTTCGGTCCGGAATGACAACAGAGTTCTTTTACCAGGGCGACAAAACAGAGCCCTCAATTCTTCGCAAGTAAGGATCGCGTTAGGAATTGAACCCTCAAAATCACTAATTCAAAGACGTCTCCATGAGAGAAATTCAAGAGCCAGACAGCATGTCAATTATTAAAAGCAGTCCATCGAAGAGCACAAATAAACTGGGCTAATATTCATAGGGGGAGCAGCTGAATGGTAGGGATGTTTGTTTGTGGATAAATGCAGATTCACGTTGTATCAGAATGACGGGCGTGTATTAACATGTAGAGAAACGCGAAACGCGTGAGGGTTATAGAGAAAAATGCATGGAAGAGAGGCTTTTGGTGGTGGTGGCGTGACTGTTTGGAAGGGGAGGGGGGAGGGGTAATTTATCGGAATGGGTAGACTGAACTGGTAAACTGGTAAATTTAATGAGAGAAAGTATGAATGAAGAACGGTATCGGGATTTGTGTGTAAAGGCGGTTACACACGGACATGGATGTCTGAAAACATGTATGCAAATACATGAACGCGCGAACAAAAACATCAATGTGTATGCAGAATACCATCGCGTCTTTGAATGTGCAAGCGGTAGATTCGAACTCGAACATCCCAATTTTTGGTCACTTTTTGTAAGACCATAACTGAAAATCTACCAGGCCGATTTTGTTTAAATTTTCAGGAGTGAAAGGCTGCTCTAATTGCTAATTAATTTTCATTTGCTAACAGTTTCCGTCCACCTGCTGAAAGATACAGGGAGAAACATAAGTTGGCGATTTCTTTACGAAAGTTTGAGTTCACTCCATTCTGCTGGAGGGAGGGTTAGGTAGATTTTTGGCATGCAGTTCAGAAGAGTACCTTAGTACCTCGAGACGTTTTTGAGATTTTTTGAATATCGCAGCCGACTACGATTTTATCATGAGTTATACGATTTTATGTAAAGTATAGCTATTGACGTCATTATTTCTTTTCGGAACAAACACTACAAGAATGGCGCATGTGAAAACCTACTTAGAACATATTATACAGGGTGATACAGAAATATATAGGGTGTTCTGATAAGAGTTTCCGGATTTTTTTCTTAATTCAAACGAAAAGCCAACCAGGAAACATTTAATACTTTATAGCAATAAGTAGCATGATCGTTAACAATTAGGTATATGTGAAACACAATATCCAACAAATAGCCATCGCGACTTCTCTCACAGCACACAACTCTTTTGCCCAAATGTTTGATCACATCTGTGCACATTTCCAGTGGTATTTCACGAATAATGCTACGAATCACATCTTTCAACTCTTGAATTGTTTGGGGATTGTTTACATACGCTTTTATTTTGATGTAAGCGGCGTAACATGTCACACAGCAAGATAAACCATTGACTTATTGCAAACACGGTTTGAAGATAAACTTCTCTCAAGAAATGAGGATGTCAATTGGCCGCCTAGATCTTGCGATCTAACGCCACTAGGCTCTTTTTTGTGGGGTTACATGAAAAGCAAAGCGTACGTTAACAATCTCCCAAACAATTCAAGAGTTGAAAGATGATGAGCTTCGGCGTATTATTTGTGAGATTCCACCGGAAATGTGCACAGATGTGATCGAAAATTTTGGCAAAAAAATTGTGTGCTGTGAGAGAAGTCGTAGTG